ATTTTAATGACAAAAATAGTTTGTTTTTCGGAAAATTTCACTTGACATAAGAGTCTTTTTGTCTTTTTCGTAAGCGTCTCTAAAAGTAGTTGGATATGGAAAGATAGGAGAGGAGAAATCTCCCCTCCCCACTCTTTCTTTCTCAATTTTTAATTGTTGTATACACTGATGATATACCTTAAACAGCAATAACTACACTATTCGGATTGAATACAATTTAAATCATTTCGTATTAAAACATTTCCACGGGTTATCGACACAGTATTTATTAATGATTGTGTCCGTGTCTATTTAGAGACTATCCTTTTATCTAGTAATGATGTAACAGCACATACAAATAATTTAGATTTTGTTTAAAATTTTAGATCAGAACAATGTCAAAAAACCTTTATCAAAATTCACTTTTAATGTTTCTAATTTATACATATTGGGTTTAGTGAAGAAGGAGTTTTTAATAAAAGGTCTAATAAGTTAAAATCTTTTTCATGTCTAATTCTTGAAGTTAACGTAGATTCTGAGCAATGGCTGGATTTTATCGAAAACTCATACCCAAATTGTACTTCTTGTCTGAACGTATGACATTATTTCCAACTTGTTCTTTTGAATTATACGATATTGAAAAGACTCCTCTAAAGATATTACGCAACAACGCTGTAAACGTCCCTAGTTCAGCCGCTATATGAAGTCTCCATCAATGGGTTACAGGCGGTTGTCAGTATGCGTTTGGTGCAGCCTTAGCCAAAGTAATAGACGGGATATCCATTATTTTGGGCTCCTATTCTAGAGTTGCTCGTGGCCTATTTAGCAGTGCTTCACTTTCGTTACTATGAAGCGCTTTCCACAGTTTAAACACAGCAAAATCGAATTGCCAACATCAACAACAACACATGTCAATACTTACTGTGTACATTTCTGACGTATCACATATTAAAGCTAGTCAGAATATATAAAAAAAAAAACTGATTGTTTGCCGCGATCGACTTTTGCAATACAATATGTAGATATGTGTGACTTAATATAAATCATTCAAACACAGGCTAATGATGAAGAAATCAAATCTTTAACTAACCATAAACAGTTTTCAGTGTCTGGTTATAATACTGAGATATAATGTAATGTATCCACGTCATATCTAAGACGTTTTTGTACCGAAAACTTTGTATCGATCTATTTTTGATATCATTCAATCATCGTTAGATCTTGTAAAGGTAATTAAATCCAGATACTATTGGTCAATTATGGATAAATCTATGAATGACATTTGTGTAGAATATCTTGCCAACAGTAAACAAATAATAATAAACATACAAGATTTCCTATTCAAAATTTAGAATTACTTTCACCACGCTTTCAAACTGTCCACATAGATGTTATTGGATCACTCTTTGCAGTCTATAATGATTCAGATCCATATTTAAAGCTTACAAATATCTTTTAACATCTAAAGACAGCACAACTCATTAGACGTGTCATTAAATGAAATTACAGCACAATATTTATTTGAAGCTTTTTATATACAGGAATTACAAGATTTGTAGTTTCACTTCATGTTATGACAGAGGAAGTCAGTTTGAAACTCAGTTATTTTTAAAACTATAAAAGAATTGACAAGTTTCACAGATTGAGAACAACTATTTACGAGTCACAGTCTGATGTTTTGATAGTGAGAACACAAAGAATTAAAATAACTTATACAGAGTAAAGTATCATGGCATGCAACAACCTATAAGTTAAGATATACATAGTAACGCTAATTAATCAGAATTCTCATATTTTTGTGTTGTAATTGGTTCCTCAATATTAATTTCACAACTGTTGATCAGTTCATTTTATAGAATAAAATATTATTATTTAATTAGTTTACTAAGAATTTGTTGAAAATCGTACTACCAATTAGTCTCAGCCAGCTTTCTAACATGAATTTAAGTCTTATGATGAAATGTAGCTTAGGATAGATCATATTAGGAAAACCTTTGGAGGCATGCCTTATTCCAGACCATAATGATTCTACAGGGTCCACCAAAACATTTCATTATTAAGATGAATGTTAATATACACAAATGTGTATTTGTGATCAAACTGAAACCTTATGTTGAAACATTCCCATATAAAATTATTTGAAGGATAAAAAAAACACAAATTCTGTAGACAATATTTCAAATAATGATAGTTTCTGTACAAATAAAAGTGATACCAATGTTCAAAGATAAACAAGGGAGAAGAAATGCAATCCCAACTTTGGTGATAAGTTGGGAATTATGACATCTTGTTATTCTGACATCAAGGAATAAAAAATATTCCAAAGAAAGAAATCATCTTTGAGAAGACAAATAACTTGGAAAAATACGGAAATTTAGGTGGGAATTATTGCAGTAATATTCAAATCTAATAATTAAAATAGCTAGTCTGTAAATAATTCACAGGTATTTCATAAAGGCTACACAAAAAGAGGACCGGAATATATATATATATATATATATATATATATATAATAAATTAACTGATTTAAAATGGTTTTTTTGCTACACAGTATTAACCATGTTTCAAAAATGGAAGCTGAAAGCCTCGAATTTAATTTTGTAATTAAATTAAAAACATTAGTTCCATTTCATCCTCAAGCGAAATTTGGAGACTCCAAAATTCATTTGAGGATGAAATGGAACTAATGTTTTTAATTTAATTACAAAATGAAATTCGAAGCTTTCAGCTTCCATTTTTGAAACGTGGTTAATACTGTGTAGCGAAAAAAACATATTTTAAATCAGTTAATTTATAATATTAATGCTCTGTAAATTTACATTGAGCACTATTTTGTAAAAATAAAAATACCAATAAGAACACCTGATTATATATCTTACTGTTCTTTCTTTTTATTTATATATACATATATATATATATATAGAGAGAGAGAGAGAGAGAGAGAAATAGGGAGAGGGAGAGAGAGAAATGGGGAGAGGGAGAGGGAGAGAGAGAGAGAGAGATTGGCAGCTGATCTCTCCTTTAACCTAGCTCTAAAAACTCATTGAAAACTGGCTGATTACTTTCAATGTCTCAAAAACCAAACTAATTACCTTCCATCATTGCCGATACAATCCTGAACTATCACCAATCACAATGAATGGATGTTCCCTCAGGGAAGCTGTATACTTTTAGTGCCTATTGGACTTAAAACTCAACCCAGACCTCAAGTGAAGCTTGTATATACAATCCATTACTAAAGATGCTGGAAAAATGGTCAGTTCCCTGTACCACTCCAGTCAGTACCTGACTCCTCTCACTATGTTTACAAGATCCAGATTAGGCCTAAAATAGAATACTGTTGCCAGATATAAGAAGGATCTGCCCATGTGCTTGCATGAAGCTATGAATCCAGCCTACTTGCGGGGGTTCATGCAAGTTGGTTGTAGCTATATACTCATGGTTGATATAATTTACCCTGATATCTTTGTTATGTATACAGATATTATTGCAGACCCTTTACACCTCTGTATGCTTGCAATGTTTCCCAGAAATGATGAGTTTTTTCAAGCAGGATGACAACACCCATTAGGCATGAATAGCATGAAACTGGTTCCACTAATGCTCAGCTTCAGCACAATTCATTGCCACCCATGCCCACATACTCACAAGACTCCAATGCCACCCATGCCCACATACCCATAAGACTCAATTGCCACCCATGCCCACATACTCACAAGACTCCATTGCCACCCATGCCCACATACCCATAAGACTCCATTGCCACCCATGCCTATATACCCACATAACTCCATTGCCACCCATGCCGACATACCCACAAGACTCCATTGCCAACCATACCCACATTACTACAAGGCTCCACTGCCAGCCATGCCCACATACCCACAAGACTCCATTGCCACTTATGCCCACATACCCACAGCACTTCATTGCCACCCATACCCACAAGACTCCATTGCCACCCATGCCTACATACCAAAAAAATTCCATTGCCACCCATGCCCACATACCCATAAGACTCCATTGCCACCCATGCCCACATACTCACAAGACTCCATTGCCACCCATGCCCACATACCCATAAGACTCCATTGCCACCCATGCCCACATACCCATAAGACTCCATTGCCACCCATGCCTACATACCCACATAACTCCATTGCCACCCATGCCGACATACCCACAAGACTCCATTGCCAACCATACCCACATACCCACAAGACTCCATTGCCACTTATGCCCACATACCCACAGCACTTCATTGCCACCCATACCCACAAGACTCCATTGCCACCCATGCCTACATACCAAAAAAAAATTCCATTGCCACCCATGCCCACATACCCACAAGACTCCATTGCCATCCATGCCCACATACCCACAAGACTCCATTGCCACCCATGCCCACATACCCACAAGACTCCATTGCCACCCATCCTCACATACCCACAAGACTCCATTGCTACCCATCCCCACATACCTACAAGCCTTAGACTTCATTTCACATGCACGGAATATGCTATAGACCTTACTAAATGCAATAAACACAACACTGTTATGGACCACTCTAAAATGTTCCTGGGTAGATTTGTGTATCCAATAGCTGCAGCACGTTTCAAACTCTGTGCTGGTGTTATTCAGATTAAAGGAGGAACTACACATTATTAGGTAACTCTCTAATATATTTTGTACATCAGTTTAGATAAATGAATAAATAGAAATATAATGATTTGAGGGACAACAGTTTGAATTAGGACAAAAGTAATAACAGAAAACAAGTAGTTGGTTGGTTTGTTTAGTGGCATATCAACACCTCTATGAGTTATTTAATGTGGAAATCTAAATATTTTGTTTGCAATTTTATTTTATTTTTGGAGATAATAATGGTTTAATGATATAAGTCTTACTAATTAACCCATAGATGGTGGAGAAGAGTATTTGTGCATAAGTGAATATAACAAATCCATCTGGAATTGGAAATTGGCTTGCTGATTAACAATTCTGAGCCGGCACATTCAAGTTTACAGTACTTGGTATTCCCAAGCAGTCACCCATCTATGTACTGACCAGACTCAATGTTGCTTAACTTCAGTGATCATACAGGAACCAGTGTTTCAACGAGATGTGGGCATAAGCCAGAAAGTAAATAGTTTGCATGCACAACACAGATTGATCAACAGTGGCATAAGAATAAATCCAATTTGGGCTAAATCTAAAATTTTCAAACAAGAGAAGTCAGTTATATCATATACATACCAAGAGACTGTACAGTATCTGATGTAGACATACAAACAGGTGACAATAAGGAAATAGTTCCTTTCTCAGGGTCACAATTTATAAATATATTTAATATTTTTAATATGCCAAAATTTCTTTTAAAAGCAGTTTTATTTAAACTAATGCTGTTTGTTTGGACAGAGATAATGATTTCTTAAACTATTAATAAAATGTCAAATTCAAGAAATATATTATAAATAGAGCATTGAATCTAACAAATATTGTAATTACCTGTTGTTCATCCGATGTTCAAAAAATAACAAAAACATTCATCTGAAATATATATAGGATAATAAAAAGCTTTAAATTTCAGAAAGCAAAGCAAAAATCAACAATCTTGAAATCTATTCAGTTATAGAAGACAGATATATTTTCATTTATATTATCATTATTATGATCTGTGAAAATGTTCTTAAGTTGTCTTGTTGACACATTCTGATAAGAGAGTCATCATAATGACTTGCTTTCCTTGTGTTATGTTGACATATTTAACAAAAGCTACCAATAACCTTTGCCGTCAGAAAACGATATATATATATATATATATAAGTAGTGTTGTTTTTGTTTTTTTTGCTGAAAAGAATGGGACAAATGTCAACCACATAGCTTTGTGCTCTTTCTGTTGTTTCAGACAATAGAGTATCCAATGGTGACAAATTGAGAACAAGGTGTGCATATATGGTACCAGGTGTTACGTACTATTCTCCATTATACAGCAAGAGTTTTATTGGCATTGGAAAACCAATAAAATGGTTTTCATAACACAGCCTGTAAATTTGTATCTCAGACTGATTATAATAACAGGTATTTCAATAGGAAATGTCAAGTTCTTCAAAAACCTGTATGGACAATTTGCTTGATGAACAAATGCAGCATGATGTTAATTAATTTATTAATGATGTTAATTATTTTATTGATTTGTCTTTGTTATTTCACAAAATAACCTACTTAAGGCGAAAGATTTTTTTTGGTGGGGGGAACTTCTTATGCTTATTTCAAAATATTCTAACTTTATTTCTGTCTGAATTTTTTAAACAAGAAATTACCTTTTATTTCCATTACTTACAACAAACAATTGTTCCCATCATTGTTGTTATTATCACAACATTTCAGCCATTGTGCTGTTTGGTTTTCTTTAGGTGCTTGGTATCTGGGTAACCTTCAAGGAATTTTAAACTGAACCTTTTATTTCATCTACAGGACTGAATTTTTCTCATTCCACTGCCCACATGTCCAGGAATATCTTGTCTAGTTTTTTTTTTTATTTTAGTACTGCACAGTTATTGTTCCGACCATTTCCACTGAGTCCAAGTACACACACTACACAGCCCTGGGATGGAACTCACACTTACTATGTTATGAATTTTATGAACCAATCATTTAATCCTCTGGACTATTATTCCATGGGACAATTCTGAGTGGGGAACTTGGATTGAACAGAGAAATGTGAACAACCAACCTCATAGATGAAATAAAAGGTTCAGTCTGAAATTCCCTGCAGTGTTACCCAGATTGTTTCTATTTCATTTCAGCAGAGAATGTGAGCCTGAAAAGCTACAATGAGTCACTCTCCTGGAGGTTAGCATCAGCCATGCTGATTAAAGACAGAAAGGGATCTCTCAGATGATTAGGGAACAATTTTGACTAGATTCCCAGCATAAAACAGAATGAAGGATTTATTTTTAACTTTTGAAAGAAATATCAATTCACATCAAATTAAATGATCAGCAGTTCACTTTTGAAAGAGTTTAAGTGATTTTCAGGTAAGATTCATGGTAGATATTATCAAAGAGTGTATCATCTTCACAGAATAAATTGAATCCCTACTTTTAACGTTTCAAAGTTTGTTTCACAGTGTCAAACATTTAGCTTTCCCTTATGCAACTTTCTTTTAGCAAGAACTATTTTATTTACATAAAATAGATTTATTACAATCCTTAATGGGAAAATATATCTGCTTTGATGCAACAAACAAACAAAACTTTATATTGAAATCCCAAAATATTACACTGTTAAATAAAACCTGATTGGGAGCCTCATGCTGTACTTTGTGACCCATGCTATCTTATCAACATTTGCAATTTTCTACCTACAGTTATATACATTACAAATTCAACAAAGTACAACTGACTTTTAAAAGATGAAAAATTTTCATGGATTTTGGGGACTTTTTTTGTCCAAATCCATGAATTTGCTTTGCTTATGCAAAGTCTTGAAAAAACACTCAATATAAAATTCACTATTTTTTATCCATAATGTTGAATGTGTTATAATTATTCAACTTTTTTACAAAAAATCTCAAGTTGATATTAAAAATTGCTGCAAAACTTTGTTGATTTATTTAAGATGGAATGAACTATTATGCCATGTCTCTAATTTGTATTTACATACATTGGATTTAGTTTCAGTTTTTCTAGTTGAATTGTTCACCTATATTGCATATGATCCATTATTGTACATAATTAGGTTATAATAAAATTTGTATTTTATATGAATACTACCTCATAAAAATTGACGTCTAGTAGAGTGGGGGGTCCCCGCAGAGTGGCAGGACTGTATCATAGATTACAGGGGCACAAGACCCTTGCACCAGCCCTGTGTGTGCATTTGTTTGAAAGGGTTGCACATACATAAAGGTTACAGATAAAATTTCTCAATACAGTCTTGAGTCCTACTGTCTTTTTAATTTGATCAAGAGAAATGAATTCTCAACCTCATAGGCTTTATTGAATAGAGTAAACACCCTGTCTATTAGACTAATGTTGTGATATGATCTGAAACAGATATAAATCATATTGGCATATCTCTTGTACTTTATATTAGACACAATTAACATTAATCAAGACAACTATATGCATTTATAGAACAATGGAAAAAGGAGAAGATATTTTTAACAAAACAATACAAGAAAGAAATGAAAAATTAATAAATACTGTTGAAAAGGAATTATTGGATGAGCTAAAAAGTTTGATCTAGTTTTTGTAATTAGATAGCATGAGGGGTGTTTATTTTTGTCTAATTTAACCCTGTGTTAGTCACATGGGGTGTTTTGTTACATCAAAATTCTTATAGTACTCATAATTCCTAGTTGGCAATTTGTTTCTTTTGCTTCCTACCACTACTCTCTTGACTCAGTGAGAGTGTGTAGCACACATTGTGGTGTACTTGTAGCTGGTCTTAAACATTTTAATATTAGGTTTTTAAAAAATTTTTATCCTTCCTCTTTATAATTGAGTTTAAGACACAAAAGGAAATACTGTTGCTGCTTCTTCTTTTTCTTCTCTTATTTTTTTTTCTTCATTTTCTTGTCTTCTTTTTCTACTTTCTTTATTTTTTGCTTCTTTCTTTATTCTTTTTCTTCTTTTTTCTTCTTTTTCTTTTTCTTCTTTCTTTTTCTTCTTTTTCTTTTAATACTATTTAAATAGACAAACACATTGTATACTCTTCTTCTCAAAGAAAAAGATTTTCAAAACTCCTTCACATTAAACTGGAAATCAGCATTTTGCTTTTCATCAAATAAACAAGAAAAGGAAAAAAGAAGAGAAAAAAACTTGTTATCAAATCAGTCCCTGTAGACATGTTGCAGATTGTCAATTTACAAAACATCTGTGTTGTATTGAATGGTAGCAAGATAGTCATCTTTGTTCAATTGTTTTAGTTAAGGATTATTTTCAGCTGTTTTGCTTCAGTTTTTCTTTCCAGATAAAAAAGAAGTAATCTCCAATTGACACACAGACAGTGGTTTTATAGTATTCAAATGAAAAGCACTTTTTTCCTCCTTCTTGATCCATACTTTCTTGGGAATAACTGAATATAAACAATCTGTTACCCTGCAACCTGTCAATGAGTCAATAAACTCTCGAAAATGTGTATTTAAAGATATTTTTGGCTTTTATCTGCAGATTTAATTTGCAGTGAGAATTTAAATGAAAATGAATGACAGGGGAAAGAGAAATGGCTGACTGGAGCCATTCAACCATGACATCATCATTTTTAGAAAGAATTTGTATTTCAGACAATTTTCTGTATAAAAAAAGGTCATGCCAGCATACTTCCTGAATGGTGGAATTCAAACTGAGACAAGAATTTCTGATTGGTTCTCATTCTCTGATAATGAGTCTGTTTAGGTGACTCAGAGAAATAGATAATTATATTATAGTGTATTTTACAAGAATGAACACTTGTAGGCATGACTCAATACCAGAGATCATCTGATTCACATGAAGCTGGGTTTGCACCCGTGTACAACTAATGTTAGTTTCATTAAAAAAAAAACAGTAAAAAAACATCACATTTTTTTTTTTTTTTTTTTGAGAGTGATGCATTGATGTCTTTTTGGATTTTTATTTGCCTTTGTTATAAACACAACCACTTCCCTATTAGACTCTACACTGTACAGGGTGCGATGGATAAATTGTCGCCCTTTTATATTTTCTAATTTCATCCATGAAAGTTTTTTTATTTTTGATTTTGTTGACTACACAGTATAGTAGAGTCATTTGGACACCATCTGTAAGAAAAAAAGCACCATGACACAATTCGCTCCACCAGAAATTTGGAAACGGCATGCTGTACTGCTTGGCATTCATGCCGGAAGCTCCAATACAAACATTTCAGATTGTTTGGGTGTCAATCTGATGACAGTGCAGAGGATCCAGAAAGAGTTGAATGAATCTAATGGTGATTATGAATTTGTTGATGAGGGCCTGAAACTCAACATGGCAGCCTATATCAAGTAACTTGAGGAGATAGTGCTGCCTTGGGTCAAGTAAGTGGCTAGTGGAAGACCCTATGTCTGGTAACAGGACTCTGCACCATGCCACACAAGCAGGAGAACCTAGTCATGGTCGTCAG